AGATTTCTGTACTGGAGGACTGTGCAGGTAAAATAGAAGCATGTGCAATTGAAATTTTTTTCTCCGATTTTAATCTTATTATTATATCTTGCTATAAACCCCCTCAGAGTGGTCAACTTTCTGAAAACGAGTGGATAAGATTTTTCACTCAATTTGATAACAATAATGGATCTAATAGATGTATGTTCGTAGGTGATTTCAACTCTCACAGCCCGGCGTGGGGGTCTTCGTTCCTCTGTCAATCGGGTAGGCTACTGTCGTCGGCAATCGAGGATACTGAACTCGTTCTAGTAAGTGACGGTGCCCCGTCCTTCTTGGGCAACGCTTCGTGCGGCCCTTCAACCATCGATTTGGCGTTCTGTCATGCTTCCATCGCTCCTAGACTGAGATGTCAGACTTTGGATGATGCCTGGGGATCGGATCATTATCCGGTTTTGATTACGTCGTCAATGAACAGAGGCCCCTCCTCTTTTCCACGTAAGCGAACCAAATTATACAATAAGCACACAGATTGGAATCGGTTTAGCTCTATTATGGACAAAGATCTTAGAATCTTGATGTTGTCGGATCAGCTCAGCCCCACGGTCTTGTATTCTTCGTTCTTAGCAATTGTGGAGGAGGCAGTGAGGGGGGCTACCCCGGGGAATCCTCGGAACCCTCCCCCCCTCTCCTCCTCATCCTCCGTGTATTTGGTGGAATGAGGAATGCGATGCATTGATAGCGGAAAAAAAGTTAAAACTACAGATTTTTATGGAAACGGGTAGAGCTGTAGATTATGAGGCTTACAGATATCAGTGTGGGATAACAAAGAAAGGTTTAAGGAGGATTAAACTTGAGGCTTTTAAGGAATTTGCAGAATCCCTTAAAAGAGATACGAATCCCAAAATAGTTTGGGACACCATGAGGAGATTTGATTCGAGATGGAATAGGACTGAGACAGGTAGAGCAGTTCCTGCTGAGAAAATTGACAGTGTCCGTAACCAAATTGACGAACTTTTCCCCCCGTGGGCTCCCACTCCTCGACCAGATGAATCCTTGAGTTCACCGGGAACGGATCCTTTCCTGGACTTGCCCTTTCTGCCTGAGGAACTTGATTGGGCTTTGGAATCGGTAAATTTAGGTTCTAGCCCTGGACTGGATGGAATCAATTATAGAATTATTAAGAAATTTTCCCCGTTGGGTAAAGCTTTTCTCTTAAAAATTTACAATCTCCTCTACAAGGAGGGCAGTTTTCCGGAAGAATGGAGAGACTACTTGGTTTTCTTTATTCCAAAACAAGGATCTAATAATAAATTCCGACCTATATCACTCTCATCATGTTTATGTAAAGTCATGGAAAGATTAGTGACGAATAGACTTCTTTGGTGGTTAGAAGTGAATAAACTTATCCCGGATTCGCAATATGGGTTTAGAAGACAGAGAAGCTGTCTTGACAACTTAACAATCTTATACACGGATATTTTGATAGGATTTGAAGAGAGAAGGGCTATTCCAGCTGCGTTTTTAGATGTAAAATCAGCTTATGACTCTGTCCTTCCGGATGTTCTCATTGATAAGTTAGCTACTCTAGGCCTCCCCCCACAGAGCAAAACATTTATTTATAATTTGATCTCTTTTAGAAGGGTTTCATGTAGCTTTCATGAGTTGGATGAAAAAAGGTTCGCTTATCGGAGTCTTCCGCAGGGTAGTGTAATGAGCCCGATACTATACACAATACATGTTACCGAAATAGATAACATGAATCACGGTGATGTGCATATGCTTCAGTATGCAGATGATATTTGTCTCTACTCAACCTCCCCGTCGCTGGCTACTGGAATAAAGAATTTAGAGCAGGTTATTAAACGTATTGAGGAGAAGTTAAAGGAAATTGGGTTGGTATTATCTCCATTAAAGACACAGTTTTGTATTTTTAATAAGACTAGAATGAAAATGAACACCCCTTTGAACGTTTCTGGTATTGTAATTCACCCATCTGATGTGGCACTTTTTCTAGGAGTCTCCTTTCATAAAAATCTAAATTGGAAGTTTCATATGTTGAAGCTAGAAAAGAGATGTGCAAACTCAATCAGAACTCTCAAATGCTTAGGTAGGAAGTGGTGGGGCTCTGACGCATATGTCCTTAGAAAGGTGTATAGGGCGTTAATCCGCTCTAGACTTGAGTATGCAGGATTCCTTATGAATTCTGTCTCCAGGGACCTGTCTACGAAGGTGGACAAAATTCAGATGAGAGCAATCAGATTAATTATGGGTTACAGATGTTCAACTCCCCTTAACGTTATGCTTGCAGAACTTCGCGAACCCTCCCTCTATTTTAGATTCAAATATCTGGCATTGGGTTTTCTTTTTAGAGTTTGGTCCAGCGCATCGCATCCCCTGAAGGAAAAACTAACACACTTAAGCAACAGCAGACCTATTGTGCATGGTAGACGCATGAGCGACCCCTTTTTAGAGGCTCTCTCCTCTTTTCAGGAGTATATGGAATATATCCCTCAGAGGGAACATCCGATTTGCTACCCTGAGAATTTTGAAGCTCTGTTCGCCCATCTAGAGGTGGACAAGGTCTCCGGTGATTTAATTAAAAAAGATTCTGCTCCCGCGGCTAAATTTAATGAGATTTTTGGCCAGGTCTTGCTCTCGAATCAAGCTATTTTCACAGATGGATCTACTAATATGAAGGAGGTAAATTCCTCTGGCTTCTCGGTTGTTTCGCAGTCTGGCGAGGTATTATTCAGTGCATCCTCCTTTGGCTTCCTTTCCTCCTTTACGGTGGAATCAATGGCTATCCTAAAAGCCCTTCAGATCTGTGAGGAACATGAATGGTCTGAAGCCTTTATTTTCTCGGACTCACTCTCTAACTTACTGGCTATCTCTTCTTGCTTTAAGCCTTCCCAGACCTCATTCTTGATCTTAGAAATAAGAAACCTTCTGGTTAAATTTGCAAAGAAGAACTGGAATATCAATCTTGTTTGGATCCCCTCGCACGTGGGTATTAAAGGGAATGAACTAGCAGATAGGGCCGCCAAGGCAGCTTGCAATGGCCCACGTGGAGATTTCAAAGAAATTCCTCATAGAGAGTTAAAGCGTTTATGGAAAAATGAAACTATCAAAGAATCGATAGAATGGTGTTTTGAGGAAAGGATCTTCAGAGGGTCTAGGTTCTTTTCATTCTTCTATGATCAGAGTAACGTTGACTTTAAAAGTGCATGGTTTGATGAATTTATCATTAAGAGAAGGGCATTTACTTCTATTAATCGTTTGAGATGTGGACACTCGTCCCTTCATGATAGTTTGTTTAGATTCCTCATGGTGGATTCCCCGGACTGCCCATATTGCGGAGAGTTGGAGACTCCAGAACACGTTTTCTGGACTTGCTTCAAATATGACGATCAACGTGAAACCTTGATAAAGGCTTTGTCTAGACTGTTCGGTTATGGCCCCTACTCGTTGGAGTTTTTACTTCAGCTCCCTGTACCGGAAGTGGCATTCATTCTGGAAAAGTTTATATGTTCATTGCCGATCTTTATATGATTAAGGACCCTCTTATTAGAATTTAACAGAAAATTACACCTAAGGATGTTTGAAGGAATTGTACGAATAGACGCAATCGAGGTGTGCTCTGCCTCAACTTTAAGGCAATATTGGTTAATTTAGTTAGCGTTCAACTGATTACCATTGTTATCTGGGCGTAATTTTATTAGATTTGTAAGTTTAAGTTTTAAGTCTTAATTTTAAAGTGCAACACGATAGGAAACCTCATATTTATTTATTTGTTGTGCGTTTTTTTGTGTTTTCTATTTTTAATTTTTCATATAAAGATTTGAAAGGCGAGTCGAGTTATAAGGTTTATAAGGTTTATGTTGGGTTTCAAGGAGGATCTTCCTCCTAATACTTATAGGGCTTTGCGCGCGGCTGCGTGGGTGTCATAACGACACTCCCTCTCGAGATAGCTATTTTGAATAGGCCTGTAGCTTTAAATGAATGTATATTAGGACTGGAGCACCTCTATTGAGGTGTGCGTGTGATACGACCTTAATATAAATATCCAACACATAATCTGTGATTCAACCCATGTAAACAGGCCATATGGGTTTCTCCCATGGTCATATTTCTTATATTTCAATTAAAAAAAAAAAAAAAAAGATCTGTACGGCAAAAACAACAATTTAAGCGACATACACTTGTGAAATTTTGCTGCAAATATGTTTCAAGCGTCTAGCACACTCGACTGCTCTTTTTCTCACGGGCAGATGCTTGCACGTTCTTATTTTCACATTTCTGCCGGTCGGATCTGTACTCAAAACTCTGCTGCAAAAAGCAGTCAAGTGTGCGTGAAGAGTCTAACGCGATTTGCTGTTATTTTTCTGTTGGGCAGATACTTCCATATTGTTTTCACATTTCTGCTGCATGTTTACTTTTAACAAATAGTATAAAATTTCACAGTAGCTTCTTACAGCAGACTACTGCAATAGTACCAGTAAGTACTCGTTAAACACAGATATTATGCACTTCTGTCGCAATTTTTGACTGTTTTCTTACGCACTTCTTCGGGACGTATCTGAACTATCAGACTGTGTTATCAGGGCACTCTCCGGCAGTTAAACGATATACAGTTTTTCGGTTTTTTTTAGCGAAACCGTGATCTAATAAACGTTTTAATTAGTATATTCGGAACTAACAAACGATTCCGCATCGATTGACCACGGTTTTAATAAAAAATTGTAAAGAATTCTATATTTACCGGCTAAATTAACACTAAAAATTATTTTCGTGATTACGTAAAAACTATTAACTAACAAACATTCTAATTAGTCTAACAATCAATAACAAACAACTAACAATCGATTCGTAAAAAAAAATGTCATAAGTCGAAATTGTCCGGCTAACTTCTATGAGGTTGCTACCTGGGTATTTCAAGCACAAGTGTACCAACATATAAAAAAATATAGTATTCTATCTGGACACTTATTCTAGCGCGGAAAATTAAAAAATTCCACAAACTTTTGATCACACCTCATATATACTTTTCTAATATTTTAGCAATTCTACGTTTACATTTCATATTATATAGAGAGATTAAGGTTTCTCTCCTGCTTTTAATTTACATTCATCGATTAGATTTATTTCATAGACTTATTTTGGTCAGCATCAAACTTTTGTAATAGTTCTAACAAACGATCGTATAAAAGAGTTTTCGCGTTGATTGCCCACAGGAAATCTACGTGACTGAAATGCTTAAATGGAACTTCCTCCGTTAAAAGAACATTTGGTAAGCGTTTGCCAAGTTCCAACACATTCTGAAAATTAAAAATCCAATAATGAAAGAACGATATTAATAACGAGATGATTTAAATATATGAAGAGTAGAAAATAGATCCGATTAATACAAATCAACTGTTTTTTCCTATTACACTTTGCATTACATTCAATCGGATTCTTTTATATTGTTAACAAATTTATCACAATTTTGTCATGTTGAATAAATATTTATTTCTTTTGCTTTTATTTGTAAGTAAAAATTAAACTGCAATGAAAAACTTAACAACAGAGAACTACTGTTACCTCTTTTGTCACAACCATATCATTTGCTGAGTAAAATAAAATTATTGGAGCAGTAATCTTTTTGAAATCATAACTTGGGGGTATTTTCTGTTTGTATCGCTTATAGTTTTCAGCTATTCCATAATCATAGTTTCGAAAGTCCTCTGCAACAATTGATATTAATCGTACATTTATAATTACGTCCAAAACTTAAAAGTATATTTGAAAAAAGATTAGTGCCCGTGCATACAATTATAAAGTAATCTGTAGAAAATTATCAACCGGAATATTGTTTTATAAAAGGGAATAATACTGTTTTATGTGAAAGGGGGAATACTCACTTATACGTATATTTTGGTAAAAATGCTCTAATGTTTGTACAGAACTACCGGCTGGAAAATAAGATAATAAATCCGGCAGGGTTGTCTATAACAGAAAAAAATTATATAAATGAAAGCGACTAATTAGAAAATGAGCCCTGGCGGAAAAAAATTCTCCAACTTTTTATGCAACAACTGCGCCAAACTACAACTAATTACGAAAAAAAAAACGTGGAAACTGTAAGTAAAGTAGAGATATTACATGGAAAGAAGAAGTTTTAATGCTAAACAATGCTAAAATTACAACTAATCACAAGAAAATGCGCGATTTCGAAAACTTTCTTAATTGTTTGTAGATAAGCGTAAAAAAGTTTCAAACATTTTTAACAACTCCGCCAAACTACAACTAACTACGACAAAAAATCATCGAAAACTACAATTAGAAATGCAATTAACTTAAAGTAGTTAGTCCGTGACAATACTGTCAAAAAGTTAATGATAGACAAATGACACATAGTATTTGGCTGGAATTGTCCGCGTTATGCATGTGTGTGTAAGAATCTCATATGTAGGGGAGACCGGGGCTAAAACGTCTACGGGGTAAATACGTCTAATCAAATATCTCGGAACCTGTATATTGTGCGAACTCGCTATTAACATTGTAAACGCTGTTTATGGCACCCATGTGACCAACAGAGGTTCGGCAGGTTACCTGTCGTGTTATGATTTTTACAAGGGCAAACGTGTTTTCGGAAGGTAAAAGTGAAATTTTCTGCGCGTGGAAATTTTGTAATATCTGCAATAATATTTGCTCTCCAAATCTTGAGGTACGTGATTATAAAGAGTAATGCATGCTGAACACGAATCCAGTGTAGTTTTTTCATTATCGTTGATGTCTAATATTTCGTGGGCGATTAAACCTGAAACTTGTGTTTGGGGCTAATCCATCTGTAAGCACCCGGGGCTAATCCGCCTGTCTCGTCACTGTGGCGCGCCGGGCGCACGACTTCAGCTCACGGCGATTTCAGGTTAGGTTTCCCTCGAGCGTGATTCTGTCTTCCCTTGCACGTGCATCAGTTTGTATAGGAGGGAAATGGTACGCACGTATCGTCGCAAAATGGGTGTTTTGGCCGACCGAAAAGATGGCGGACCGTTGTTTTCGAGATTGCTCACGCTCACGCTCACGGCACGTCGGCGAGGTACGGCGAGACACGACTCAGAGATTCCGCGATTTCCGCGCGAGAGTTGACATGCCGCGCGCGTGGTAGATCGTCCCGGCCGCGGTAGATCGTCGTTGTTGGTCATTGTATCAGTGTCAGTGTAGTGGTGGTGGTGGTGGTCGTCGTCGTCGTCGTGCGCTCGTCAGGATCTGTATTCACGTGCCTTAATTGTTTTAAGGAATAGGTAAAACAATTATTCTTTAATAATGTTTTGCATAACAATTTCAAATAAATTTTTATATTTTTCTTTTCAAAAACAATTATTAAAGTGTATCCTATTATTTTTCAGAATTAGATGTACGTATATGTATTGAAAATGTAGTGTGACGGTTTAACCCCGGCATTTTTTAGATTTCAATTTTTGCACCGTTGTCGTTTTTGCTCTATACCGGTTAAACAAAACGACGTAGACAAAAATTTCCTATATAAATTTTGTAGCTAAAGGTTTACTCTTTACAGTGGTATACCACATTTAACCACAATTATTTATTTTGTTAAAAATTGGCACCGAAAAAAAGCGGACGGTCTAGCCCCGGTCTGCCCTACATGTATATAGACACTATAAATGTGTGCTACTAGATTAGGTTCACTTCAAAACTAACTTCAAAGGTTAGCTGTCATATACTACGTTTACGCGAACGTTACTTCTGTAGTAACTTACTATAATTCACTCGTTCACGCGGAGTAAATTATCGTAAGTTACTACAAAATCCCGTTTACGCGAAGGAATTATCGTAAGTTACTATACAGAAGTAACGCTCGCGTAAACGTAGTAATATGCGTCCACCGCTAGTATCAGAAAGGACCCCGCACCCAAATCAGGGGAATTATGTACTTTAAGTATCAATTACTTCGAAACTAAACGGTCAAAGGTCTTGTATTTTTGCAAGTATATTTTTACAAGTCTTTTCTATGTCTTCTTGTTTTTCATAAAAGTTGCCAAAGTAGTTAGATCGCTACAATTAAAAACGTGGTATCGGAAACCGTTTTCGTACCTGTAATACATGTAAAAGGTACTTTTGATTTCAATTATCTCAGCTTCGGTACGGTCAATTTTTTTCTAATTGCGCAAGTGTGTAAATCATGTTAATATATACTGTTCAAATTTTATGAGGTTTCCAAGAAAATGAGTTTACGGACTAACTACCTTAATGCCAAACTACGCTAAAATTGCATTCACGAGAAAATGCTCAGTTTCGGACAGTTTTTTTGCTTTCTCATAGAGGAAGCTTTGTTTTCATAAACTTCGTATATGGACTTTTGATCGCATGTAAAGCTAGGTCTAATCAACCAAATTTTAAAGAATTATATATGAAATTGGGGTAGAAAAGACCAAAAAGAAATAGTTATTTGTGTAACAATTAAGAGCGGGAAGTTGAAAATTGGACACGAGTGCGGAGTGGACGCACGAGCCGAAGACGAGTGCAATCACCCGCACTCGTGTCCAATTCTCAACCCGCACGTGTTACACACCCTATTTTATATTACAAAGTGCGTAGAAAGTGGCCTATTGCGCACACGCCATCAACAAAATCTAACTAAAAGTTTCTTTTACTTTATAGTTTTTAGCCATCGAAGTCGTAGATCACGGTCGACGAGGGGCCCTAATAAAAATTACCGTTAGAAACGGATAGAACGTGCGTTCTATCCGTTTCTGACTGCTTTACTATGCGTTTCTTTCCCTGCAATTACGGATAGAAACAGATGAAAAGTGTTGCAGATTCTATAAGACTGTGTACGCAAAGACGGTGGGAAAAGGCTAACTGCATCTAACTGATTCCTAACGGAACGGAACTTATCCGAATCTATGCGCAAACGTAATTACGAATCTTATCCGTTTCTATACGCAACCAGTTTTGAATGTCTATCCGCATCTGATTGCGGAACCTGACAGAATATCTATCTGCATTTATACGGAACGGAACTTATCCGAATCTATACGCAAACGTAATTACGAATCCTATCCGTTTCTATACGCAACCAGTTTTGAATGTCTATCCGCATCTGATTGCAAAACCAGGTAGGATATCTATCTGCATTTGCATGCAATTATGATTTGCCCGCTCTATCTGTTTCTAACTGCAAATGCATTTTATTCATTTCTTATTACTGCAAATACATGTACATTGTGGGAGGTTTGTAGTTATCAGGTAGATTCTACCTTTAAACGCCAGGAGAAGGGATTCCTCCAGACACTGTAATTTTTCTGGTTGTCGCCTGACAGAACGCCTGCTTATATATTATGGCTGGTTGTATTTTAAATGTGAGAAACGCTTTCCATCATGCGCCGCCTAGCGGCGCCGGCGTCGTCGCGAGTCGTCGTCCATCTGCCTCTGTACGCAATGTCGACCTATAGGAATTTGTCTGCAACTACGGATACGAGTCCTGTATGTTTCTGTCCGCATTCTGTACGCATCAGATGCTGACGGTATCTATCCGTAATTACGGATACCGCATCCATCTGCATCTGTACGCAATGTCGACCTATAGGAATTTGTCTGCAACTACGGATA